AGAGAGAGAGAGAGAGAGAGAGACCACTGGTCATGAAAAGAATACTAATGTTGGAATCAGTTTACCTGGATTTCAGTCCAGTAATAAATATATGTAGCAATATATTTATTATTGGATGACTCATGGAAGGTCTTGCAGGGTTGTAGTGAGGATTAATGCTAATATAGAGAGAGCTTAGTACAGCCTGGTACATAATGGGTGTTTTGTAAATAATGATCAATTCTGTTATTATTATGCCCCGTGGCATTTCTCTCAAAGTTTGGCAGAGATTCGCCATTAAACTTGAGAACAAGTATTAGATGCTGTTAAATATTTGAAACATGCATAAGCTCAGAGGGGCTTTCCCATCACAAGGAGGAAGATGATAGTGGGAAGAAGCTCAGAAGTTTCTTGGTTTTTCACTGTTGGTATGTGGCATGGGAAGTTTGGTGACAAAAATAGTGGCAACAATAATGCTACCTGGAAGAAAGCTTACCCTTGAGCCAAAGGTGCCAAAATCGTATGGCAACTCAGCGGGACCAATTTCTGCAGCCTGAGAGGTGTGCATATGTGCTGTCACTGATGGTGCTTGGGCTTGACTCACACTACCCACTGACATCCAAGTCTAGATATTTGGCATACTTGTCCTCTGGGTAAAAACAAGTTATAAACCTAAAATCCTGTTCTTCTTGAAATATAAAAGGGAGAGAAAAGTGTACTGGGCTTTTGACTTGAAAACTGACATCTTTCAACTACTTAAATCATTTCCAGTTAAATACCATTTTCTTTTGAATTACATGCATCTGCTGTAGAATGTAAGTTCTCCAGGTTAGGGCCTTGTCTTGTCATAGGTTGTGTAAAATGGTGCAGACACTTTTAGCACTCCTGGTATAAACAGATGGCTATAATTTGTAACAAAAGAATAACAGTGGCACCCTCCTGACATGTACTAGAAGGTTGGTGTGCAAGAGGAAGCCGATTATATACATATTGTAATCTGATGACAACATATTGTAAAAGTATGTTCCCCACAGGGAAAACCAATAACTCCTTCCTCCAAATCTAGAAAACAGATAGACCATTGAGAGTTAATTCTAATTATGTAAAGATTTTTTTGCTTTACAAGACAGCTTTTTAAAAAAATTATTTTTTGCTAAAGAGTCTCTTGAAATAGCCACATCTCTTTTTGGAGTGTTCAAAATTGGATCTGCTTTACAAAATGTTGATTAGACTCAACTGTTCAGGAGCAAAGAGAGAGTGCAAAAATGGGGCATTGCTTATCAATTGTCAATGGTAAAAGTCTTACTTGGTGGTCTCAGTGAAAAAACAATAACAACAACAAACCTCACCTCACCATTCTATCCACTAAACCCAACAAAGTCAGATTGTCCAAATGTTAAATATTTTTAGCGAGGCAGTTATGAAGATAAATTGGATGACTTTTTTTTTTTTTTTTTTTTTTGAGTTGGAGTCTCACTGTCGCCCAGACTGGAGTGCAGTGGTCGCTCCTGGCCACCGCAGCCTCGACCTGCTGGGCTCCGGCGATCCTTCCACCTCAGCCTTCCAAGTAGCTGGAACTACAGGCTCACACTACCACGCCCGGCTGATTTTTTTTTTTATTTATTGTAGAGATGAGGTCTCGCCTGCCCAGGCGGGTTTCGAACCCGCGGGCTCAGGCAATCTGCTCACCTCAGCCTCCCAAAGGCGCGGGATTACAGGCTGAGCCACCGAGCCCGGCGGATGACTTTTTTTAAAGTGAGAAAGCAGGATTTATTAAGAGGACAGAAAGGCTCCCACAGTGGGAGGGGACCCTAGGGGGTTGCCCAAATCGATGACTTTTATTCAAATAATGAATAACAGAATTTGTGGAAGCTATGATGTTTTTCTTCTTCCATATGTACGTCATAGGCAAGGAGAGAAAAAGGAAAGTGTGGGGAAGATGCAGGTAGAAACACAGGGTCAGAAGAAGGGAACGCCAGATCATAAACAGACAACTTTTTCTCCCCCTGTTGGACCCTCTTTCTTTACAAGTACGGAAAATACAAGCAGATAAGCCTGTCAGTCATTCCTGCTAGTTCTAATTTCTGATGCATAGCAGGAAAAAAAGCAACAAGGTATACCTTCAATCTAGCAAGTAAGTATTGTACAGGCACTGTGCTAGACTCAAAGATGGAAGAAAACAGGAGAGGAGGGAAGAAGAAAATGCACATTTAATAAGTCACCTAAGTGCCTTCAAAGACCACGTACTGTCCCAGCTGGCTTCTCCAATGGAAAAACGAGCAGACTCCATTTTAAAGCTGGCTACTGCAACCAAATGCACTATTTGTATTTTTCCAAAGTTCCTAAATTTCTGAACCAATAGTTGACTAATCTCTATCCAGACTTAGGCTGTTGAAAACCTTTTTTTTCCCCCCAAATGACACAGAGCCTTGCCCTGTCACCCAGGCTGAAAGCAGTGGCACAACCATAGTTCATTGTAACCTCGAATTCCTGGGCTCAAGTGGTGCTCCTGCCTCAGCCTCCTGTGTAACTAGGACTACTAGCTACTTGGGCCACCATGCCTTGGGTCACCAGACTTGGGCCACCATGCCTGGCCTGAAAACCTTTCTGGAAGTTCTATCCATTGTGCTGCAAAGCTATTCTTAATCTTTCAGCCAATGCATCAAACATTTTAACAAAGAGTTAGGAACAAAGAAGGGATACTTCCTTCGTGGGAAGCACAATACTCAGAGTTTTCCTAGGCAGGTCATTCCTGCACTTCTGTGAGTAATTTCATCTTCCTGCTTTGTAAGCCTCTGCATACTTTGTGTGCTCACGAGTGTCCGGATTGTCAGAAGAGAAGGGGTGTGTAACACATCAAGGGGGTCTTGGGCCTGGAGAAGGCGTAGGGAGGCCCCAAAGGACCTGGAGTCGGGCGAGTGAAGGAGATGTTGGTGACTGTGGTGGAGAAAAACGGTTCGTTTGGACGGTTTGATGGATTCATGTTCAGGTTTGTATTTCGGGTCCTGTCACACTTTGCGTAGAGAAATGTCCCTGTCATCTCTCATGCCCGCAGTGTGTGTGCATTCCGGGGCAGCACCGAGAGGATTTGGGGGTGAGGGGATCCTTACTAACCGCCAGAGAGAAAGTCTGATCCACACTCGGAGGGAAGAGGGTTCTCTAGGGTGTCAAGACGTGATCCCGGGACCCTCTGGGAAAGGGTTGTGGATGAGGAATCGTCAGCTGGAGCCCTGAAGCTTCCACCTTTCCTGGGCAAGGAAGCGCGGAAGGTGGGTGCTCGCGGGCGGGGGTGGGGGCGGCTCCTCCTAGCCCCC